CAGGATGCACATTGCTGAAGTGGGAATGTGTATGAGGGATGTAAGAATGGAGGAATTTTGAGCTAGGTTGTTGATAGTTTATGGTTAATAGAATTCCTGTAGTGATGGCAGCTTTGGAGTAGAAAGAAATGTTGGAGAAGTAAGCAAGCCAGATGAAAAAACCCTTAGAGAGTGAGGAGGAATGATTAAAGGTGGTTGGGTGATAGTGACAATGAGGCTGTATACTGAGAAGCCATGAACCTTAGTGGAAGAGATCTTTTATATGTGAAGATGCAAAAATAATACTAATGTAGAAGCCTGAGAGTTCAGCTGGGAAAATGCTTATTTCATCTTCGGGCTCTGTTAGATGTGGGAAAAGAAAAGAGTCTTTTATTAAAGGCTGCAGGGAAGTGAATTCCTGTGAGGGGAGGTCAGCTGAGGCAGAGGTGAAGGAGAGAATCCTGTTGAAGATGTAGGAGTTTATTCACTGTGGATTAAAGAGTTCAGATAAAGATGAGGAAGAGAGTTAGTAGTTGAAGAAAGACTTAGAGAAAAGTGGGTCTAGGAGACACACGTACTATGGTAATGAACATATGCGACAGAGTTGACTAGAAGTTTTAGCATTTGGAAGAGAAGCCCAGTTTGACAAGGTATATTTGGATGGACTGTGGTGAAGTGTGTAGGCGTAGGAAATCCGAGGACCAAAATGGTATTGGTTACTTACTGAGGTTAGGGACAGCATACTTTGCTCCAAGTTCAAATGCCTTGCCAATTACAAGATTCTTACTCTTTAGCAGTTTGTAATTTACAAAGGAGGTGGCCATGTAACTGAGTTCTCTAGTCTAATGTGGAAAGTGTTAAGTGTGGTTATAGACAAAGTCTATGAAAGTGTAGAAGACTGAGAGTTTAGTTCCAACTGGGAGACCTGGGGAAGACTTCTTGGAGAAGCTAGTTTTTTAAACCAGGTCTTAAAGGGTAGGTAGGATGTTATTAAATAGATTGGGGTAAAGGAACATTCTACTTTGGAAAGGCCTGAGGCAAAGCCATGAATTTTGGGAAATACAGAGCTTGTTTGTGGAACAGTTCATAAAAAATAAACATAGAGCGCTTGACTTCAAGATGAGCAGGGAGAAATGGAAAAAAAGCAGTGGAAATTAGAGTGTTATACCAGGAGCTATGGTGACTACAAGCATGCACAGAACCAGTATGACAGAAGAAAAAAAACAACTACAGAAAAGAGAACTATGTATCCTAGTGTGCCCATGGCCACCTTCAATCTGAGTTGCTGCTAAAGGCAGCATTTTTATTTATACCAGGCGTTTTAACAGGTCTACTGCGTTCCTGCATGCCTGTGTGCGTTCTTGCTCACGGTCTTGCTTTCTCTCTCTTGCCCTTGCTCTCTCTCTTTCTCTGTCCCTCTCTCCTGTGCACTCTCTCTCCTTCCCTCCCTCTCTTCTCTCTCTCTCTCTCTCTCTCTCTCTCTCTCTCTCTCTCTCTCTCTCTCTCTCTCTCTGTTACTGCTGTAATCACAAGAATCGTACTATGATGTATTCCCACTGCTGTGCCCCTCAGCTCCTCAGTATTTGCCTGGAGAGTAAAACCGTTTGTAGAACAGTTATATAGAAATATACATTAGTGCTTATTCAACTATAATGTTGTGGATCATAATTACTTATGTTTGTGTGTGTCTGAAAAGAGAAGTTAATAATTAAAGGCTATTTACCACACTTTTGCTTGAAAGACTGATTCTTTGAATCTGAGACTGCAAAGCTTAAGGTACAGTACCTGGATTTGTTTATTTTATTTCTCTTAGATTTATTTACTTTATACTTTCATGCAAAAGAGCCATTTGGATTCCTTTTTGTTTTGGAGACAGAGTCCCACTATCTTGCCCAGGCTAGAGTGCGGTGGTGCTATCTCAGCTCACTGCAACCTCTGCCTGCCAGGTTCAAATGATTCTCATGCCTCATCCTGTCAAGTAACTGGTACTATAGGCATGTCACACCACACCTGGCTAATTTTTGTATTTTTGGTAGAGAGGGGGTTTCCATGATGCCCATGCTGGTCTGGAACTACTGGGCTCAAGCCATTCAATCTGTCCTTGGCCTTCCAAAGTGCTGGGATTACAGGCATGAGCTACCACATCCAGCCAGAGAGCCATTTGGTTTCTTGGTGCTATGTGCTACAATATTCTTTCTATCAATATTATTTTTCTAGAGAATACACTATTTATAATTTCAGATTATACTTGATTGCCTTTTTCTCTTCTCCCAGAAGGACATATGCATGTAAAATAGCATTATACATTTGAACTTGCCCCAGATAGACTTTATGAGATGTTGATTGCTATATTGTGTTTGACTGTATAGAACAGACTCTACTGCAGTGATTTAAAAAATTTAAGTTCATTTATTTTATTTTTAAAATTTTAATTTTATTTAATATTATTAATTTTTTGAGATGGGGTCTTGCTATGTTGCCGAGGCTGGTCTCAAACTCCTGGGCTCAAGCGATCCTTGTCTCAGCCTCTTGAGCATCTTGGATTACAGGCACACACAGCTGTGCTTAGCCATTTATGTTACATAACAAGAATTCCAGAGGTAGACAATTGTTGGCCCAGTGATGCTACAAGAACGTATGCTCATCCTATTCTTTGGCTCCCTGTCCTCAGCAGGCCTGATGTTGCTAATGTTTGTAAGATGGCTCTTGTATTTCCAACATTCTTGTTTCAGGCAAGAGAAATGGGAAAGGATAAAGACTACGCTCCTGTTTCTGCCCTTACTTTATTAAGAAAATAAAAGGTTTCCATAACCATTAGCAGACTTTCCACTAAATCCCACTGACCAGAATTGACTCACCTGGCTCTCCTACCCCCAAGGAAGAGAATAGCAAGCCTATTAGCTTCATCAGGGGACAAACTACCCTGATCAAAGTCAGGGAGAAAGGGGAATCTATTTGAAAGAGGGAGCTAACAATGTCTGTCAAAGTACTGTGCCTGAAGTTTAATTATTTTACCTGTTATTTTAATGCAAATGACGTTCAATCAGAATTTAGCTACAAAGAAAAAGGAAAATATTCACGACCTGTCACTTTTTCTTTCCTTACATTGTAAAACTATGTAATACAATTTCTTATGCCTGCTTTTTTGTGTAATAGCATAGGTTGTTGGAAATACTATGTTGTATTTGCACTGGAGTACCATTTTCCATTCATTTAAATGAAGTGACAGTTTCTTTTTTGGGGAGGTGATTTTTCACATTGTATAAGTAGTTTAGTTATTCTTGTTATAGACAGGTTTGTAATGCATCTATGGAGTTTACTTTAAAGGCAAATGGGTCTTAAATATCACAACTCTAAGGTAAAGTATTTCATCAAAATCTAGAGAAAAAATTTTGACTTCTGATATAAGAAAGACACTTAATATGCTTTAGAAAAATCCATTAAAAAAAATCTGAACTTTAAGACTCAATTCAAAATATTTGACCTTTTTCCACCATTGATCCTACCTTAATTAATTTTAACTTTCTTTTACTAAGAGGAAATTATATCAATTATTCAGTTGTGGCATACTGTCATAGTTTTTAAAAATTTAACAAACGTAATACCTGTTAACAGTGTACACAGGTCCTGAAATAGATTTTATGGAAAATAAGAAGTAGGTTTGTGTATGGTAACCCATGTGTGAAATCACGACGCTTTGGGAGGCTGAGTGAGAGGATTGTTTGAGGCCAGGAGTTTGAGGAGAACAACCTGGATAACATAGACCTTATTTCTTGCCCCTCTCCCCACCAAAAAAAAGGCATAATTTTTGTTCTTGGGGCACTAGCTGATGAGACACAATAAACAATAAAAGATAGTATGTGATCAGGTATAGAAGATTGGTTGGGCATGGTGGCTCATGCCTGTAATCAGCACTTTGGGAGGCCAAGGCAGGTAGATCACCTGAGGTCAGTAGTTCGAGACTTGCCTGGCCAACAGGGTGAAACCCCATCTCTACTAAAAATACCAAGAAAATTAAGCCAGATGTGGTGGTGGGCACCTGTAATCCCAGCTACTTGGGAGGCTGAGACAGGAGAATTGCTTGAACCTAGGAGGTGGAGGTTGTAGTGACCCAAGATTGCACAATTGCACTTTAGCCTGGGTGACAAGAGTAAAATTCTATCTAAAAAAAAAAGTTTTATAGGAATTTAAGAAAGTAAAACTGCAGATTGATTACTTATAATAGAAGTAGATATTCAACACAGGGTTGTTTGATGTGGTGGGAAGGTACAAAGAAGAGCCTTTCTTTCCATCCTCATCTGCTGCTTCATTCATTCACCCTTGTTCAACTATTTGTAGTGTCTGAGATGTTCTATCAACTTGGATACTTCCATACTTGCCTTTTGTTTGTTTTTGAAATTTCCTTGTTTGTTGGCCTGATAATCTCCTATCTTTCAGTCTGAATATCATCTCCTCTGTGAAGTCTTCCCTGAACTTCCTGGCCAGAGTTGGCTGCTTCCTTTTCTTTTCTCCCAAAGATATCTGTATGTATGTGGGGTGTTTGTATGTGAGTATATGTGTGTGTATGTGGGTGTATTTAGAGTCATCACATTGCACTGCTTATTTACTTGTCTGTCACAAGCTTTTGAGCTTCATGCACATGGGGAGGATATCATTTATTTGCAAATCACAGTGCCTGGTGTAATGGTATTGTACATTGGCCCACTCAATGAATATTCTTTGGATGAATGGATAAAAAGAAGGAATGGGGTGAGTGAATGGATAAAAAGAAGGAAATTAGCCTGGAGTGTCTTCATGAGTATTGGGAGTCTGTCCAGAGGGAACTTAGATCATAAGAATACTTGACCCAGAAGGAATCGTTTATAATTTGTTAAGATTTAGAGATAAGATTGAATAGGCAAAGCAGAACTTAGGTGGCAGTGGAAATTATAATAAATAATGGAGTTATATTAAATATAGTGTTGAAATTGGTCTTTGCTGCCCCCATTTTTCCAACATACTGTCCTTTTGTATTTTTGTAGTGCCTCCACTTCTCATTCAGAGAATTCAGTGCATACAAAATCAGCTTCTGTTGTATCATCAGATTCCATTTCAACTTCTGCCGACAACTTTTCTCCTGATTTGAGGGTATGTATACTATTTTAAATTTCTGATGAAGTACTTTCTGTTAGATATTTGTGGCCAACATTATCCGTATAACTAATTTAGCAGGAGATATTGATGGAGTATTCTCATAGATCATAGTCTACGAAATATGCCAGAATAGGCCAGGAAATTTGGAATGCTTACTTATTTGTAAAAGAAAAATGTGTAATTCATTTCTGAGGTTGATCACCTCTAAGTTATTTGCCAAAAGATGATTAATGAATTTTTTTGTAGTATAAAAGATTTTTATGATTATTCATATAATAGCCAATAATAGCTAACATTTATTGAATACATACTGTGTGCCAAGCATTGTTCTAAGTGCTATACATGAATTATCTCTTGTAAAACTCTCACCAATTCTGTCAGCGTTCTACAGATAATAACTTGTAGAGATTAAGTAATGTGTCCAAGATCTCATAGCTAATAAATTCTATTGCCAGTGTTCCAGCCCATGCAGTCCAGTTCGGGAGCTAAGTCACTTAAACACTGTGTGATAGTTCCTACACATCTCATTATAGTTTGTAAGTATTCCTCTATTTATTAAAGGTCTCATTTCTATGAAATTAACCACATTAGCAATACCCTGTAGAACTTTGCATTTCTGGATTCATCTGCTTTTCTATAACTGCTTGTCCATGAATGATTGAGAAAACGAATTATATATGTAGTGCTAATCCTTTACTCTTACTTTATAATCTTTATTTTTCTAAGAAACACAAAACAATGCACATTTATATCTCATGGTTGTGGAAGTGGGAAGTTCAAGATCAAGGCATTGGCAAATCCATAATCTGATGAGGGTATGTCTTCTCGTATTCTCACATGATGGACAGCATGTCAGAATCTTTTTATTCCAAACAACTGGCTGGCTGCTTTCTCTCACTGGTTACACTTATGCAGTTTTAGCTAAAACATTATGCAGTCATTTGCTGTTGAGCATATGTTGAGGATACTTATATCTTTTTCAACCATTTCATTGTCAAAACAACAAGAAGACTTCTGTAAAATCTTCTGTATATTTCTTTTCTTTTCTTTTTTTTTTTGAGACGGACTTTTGCTCTTGTTACACAGACTGGAGTGCAATGGCGCGATCTCGGCTCACCGCAACCTCCGCCTCCTGGGTTCAGGCAGTTCTCCTCCCTCAGCCTCCTGAGTAGCTGGGTTTACAGGCACGCGCCACCATGCCCAGCTAATTTTTTGTATTTTTAGTAGAGACGGGGTTTCACCATGTTGACCAGGAGGGTCTTGATCTCTTGACCTTGTGATCCACCCGCCTTGGCCTCTCAAAGTGCTGGGAATCTTCTGTATATTTCTTATTACCTTTTGTGAAATTTCATAAAATATTAGATGGGGAATATCATGCTTTAAAACCTCACTAAAAATTAGAAGGGCTTATCTTCATAATCTGGATATATATTGTGTTAATTATGAAGGCTTCATGATATCATTAGACATTATCTTGAAGCATACAAAGAGCAGGGTTCATCGTTAACAAGAATGGTTATAAATCCATTGTTGCTTCTCAAGTCATTACTGCTTTAAAATATATGTATGTATCTAATATTTCCTCATTCATTACATTAATAAAAATCCACCCAGGGCCTATGGGCTTCTCAATAATTTTAAAATGTCTTGGCCTAATTTTGGTCAGATTTTATTAGGTAAAAGCATCATTAAACAATGACTAACCTCATACTGTGACTGAAAGAATTCATACTAGGAATGAAGGAATGTCACTTTTGCCACTTGCTTATGCCTATATGTTATTTTCTACCTGATGATTCTTGTCTGAAACATTTTAAACCATTTTTGTGTACTTGTGAGTGTTAAACTACTTAACTCGACATACGTGTGAGGTACAGTACATTACAGGGTGCTGAAAGTGGGCAGATGAAGGAGGATTCTCCACTATCAGCTTATCTCTGCATGTAGACTTCCATCATTTACTCAGGACACCTGAGGAAATAAATAAATAAATAAATATTGAATGTCTGCCTTACATTTGGACAAAATGAGGGCTATAGTGCATCTGTCAATCTGTACAGAAAATATTGTAAGGTTTTCTAATTTTTCTTAGATTTTTAATTCTAGAACAGTTTTAGATGCATAGAAAAATTGCAGAGATAATTGAGTTGTTATATACTTCACCTCCAGTTTCACCCATTGTAACATCTTACATTAGTATACTACATTTGTTCCACATAAAGAACTGATATTGATAGGTTATTTTTAGCCGAAGTCCATACTTTATTCAGATATCCTTAGTTTTTACCTAATGTTCTTTTTGTTCCAGTATCCCACCCAGCAGGATGCCATATTACATTGAGTAGTTATGTCTCCTTAGGTTTCTTTTGACTGGGACAGTTTCTCAGACTTTTCTTGTTTTTAATGACTATATCAGATGGTATCTTGTTTTTGATGACTTGATGGTATCTTATAGACCATGTGACATTTTACTCATTCAAGTGGGGTTATGTGTCTTGGGTAGGAAGATCACAGAGGTAAAGTGCCATTTTATCACGTTTTATTAAGGGTACATATTATCAACATGACTTATCACTGTTGATGTTAACCTTGATCTCTTGGTTGAGGTGATGTTAGTTTTTTTCACTGTAATTATTCCCTGTGCCCCTCACCCACCCACATACTGTACTTTTTGGAAAGAAGTTGCTATGCACAACCCACACTTAAAGAGTAGAGGGTTATACTTTACCTCCTTGAAGGTGGAACATCTAATAACATTTTTTTTCAATTCTGCATGGGAGATTTTTCTCCCATTTATTGATTTGTTTAAGCTTTATTTTATTATGGACTCATGGATATTTGTTGTATACTTTTTGTTACAACCATAACTACTTTATTGATTCCAACTTCAGATTGAGAGTTCTTTGAGTCAGATCTTTTGTTCCTTTGCCATACTCTCATCATTGTGCTGTTTTTTGAGCATTTCCTTACTTTCTGGCACCACAAGATGTTCCAGACTCATAATATATGTTTCCTCCCTCAGTTCTAGAATCACCATCTAGTTTTCATAGGAGTCCTGGTTCCTTTTTTTGGAAACCAAGATCTAGCCACTAAGTGTGTTTAGTTATTACTTTTTTACAAAAGAAAAAGTAACAAAGCCTTTTCTTTCTGAAGCAAAAGATCATTTTGCACCTGTACAATTTGGAGATAATATGATGGATAGGGTGATTATAAATACAAATTTGTTTGGAATAGACCTCTTTATGCCTGTCCCTTCAGGTTAAATGTTAGACATAAATGTCCTCAGTTACATGACTACCTTAGCACCAGGTTACAAAGGGAGTCTGTCAAATTTATACATCAATTCTGTTTGCAGGAACTGTTTCAATGTATCCCATTAGTGCCTTACTAATTTAGCATCTTTCACAATTTAGGAGGACCCTCAGAGAATTTTTATTTGCTGAATAAGCAGATAGCTATTAAATTAAGAAGTTTTAGGCAACAAAGGTTATCTGTTCTTCCCTGGGACAGTGCCTAAAGAGGCAGAGAAAAAAAGAAAAGTAATATGGTGTTAAGCTACATGTTACCCAATTTTCTCATTTTTAAAGGTATCTTTAATTGTTTGATATATCTTTACTTGAATTATAGTCTTCAGCTGCTGGAGGGAGATGAATGAGTAACATTAAATTAAGTGTTAGTATCATTTAAAAATGCAGCCTGATTTCAAATCTATTATGTAGATTTCTTTTAGAAAGAAGGTTGGGTGGTAGAAGGCATGTGCTTCTAATAGTTAAAAAAAAAAGTCTAGCCTGCTACTGTGATAGATATTTGTACATGCCTGATCTCTTTTAGCTTTCTCAACAGTCCTGTGGTGGATTCTTTTTTTTTTTGCTGTGGGCGGGGGGTGGGGAAGGTTGGGGTGGGAGAAGTGATGTGTTTCTAATAATTAAAAAAATAAAAGGCTAGCCTGCTACTGTGATAGATATTCATACATGCCTCATCTCTTCTAGCTTTCTCAACAATCCTGTGATCCAGTTGTTATTCCCATTTAACAAATCAGAAACATGACAGTCATAAAGGGTGAACTAAATCACTTAGTGGCACAGTTGTCTATTGCCCTTATTTTATCTAGGTCATTCATACTCTTGTAAGGTACATTTACAGGGAGAGACCCCTCCCATGATTTTGCTGCTAAGCTTTTTAAAATACTAAGTGAGGTTTTCTTAATTAATAAGGAATATCTCTTATATATTTTGGGAATGAAAATAGTAGGTTTCAATATTACTTTCTTTTTTTTTTTAAATTTTTTATTGGATTTTAGGTTTTGGGGTTCATGAGCAGAGCATGTAAGACAGTTGCGTAGGAACACACATGGCAGTGTGCTTTTCTTTCCTTCTCCCCTTCACCCACATTTGGCATTTCTCCCCAGGCTATGCCTCCCCACCTCCCCCTCCCACTGGCCCTCCCCTTTTCCCCCCAATAGACCCCAGTGTTTACTACTCCCCTTTCTGTGTCCATGTATTCTCATTTTTCATCACCCACCTATGAGTGAGAATATGCGGTGTTTCATTTTCTGTTCTTGTGTCAGTTTGCTGAGGATGACGTTCTCCAGATTCATCCATGTCCCTACAAACGACACAAACTCATGATTTCTGATTGCTGCATAATATTCCATGGTGTATATGTGCCACATTTTTCCAATCCAATCTATTATCAATGGGCATTTTGGTTGATTCCAGGTCTTTGCTATTGTAAACAGTGCTGCAATGAACATTCATGTACATGTGTCCTTATAGTAGAACGATTTATAGTCTTTTGGATATATACCCAGTAATGGGATTGCTGGGTCAAATGGAATTTCTATTTCTAAGGCCTTGAGGAATCGCCACACTGTCTTCCACAATGGTTGAACTAATTTACACTCCCACCAACAGTGTAAAAGTGTTCCTTTTTCTCCACATCCTCTCCAGCATCTGTTGTCTCCAGATTTTTTAATGATCGCCATTCTAACTGGC